ATAAATTATTCAACAGTTAAATAAACATCTATTGTAACTAGTCTTAAATAATAGATTTGTTTCCAAAATTTTGTAATATCACCTATTCTTAGGAAATTACTTCCGAAATGAACTTTTGATAGCTTGAGTTACCAATTTCACATTGTACATGGAACTTTAGTGAATGACAATATATAGTAACCATAAATCAATAATTATTGTTTAAACTAAGAATATGATGAGACATTGTTAACTATGTTTTCGATCCAAATGTATAGTCCGCACTTTTTGTGTCGAGGTAAACATCTCCATCTTCTGGAACATTAATATAGTCATATAAAATCCGTTTCTTTCTCCAATTTACATACCAAAAATAACTAATAATCTTATAATCTTTTGAAACAAAATTTTTAAAATAACGATATGGATATTTCAACTAAGAATCGAAAACGCAAAAATTTATCAGAGAAAACCTAAATTAGCAACGGAGCACTTGAATGTTCGTATCCAAGTATTGTACAGTAATCTATTTCATCATTATTCTTATAATCTAAAAAAAAAGATATTAAACAAATTTTGGAGGAAAGGTCAAAGAAAGAGTGTTATTTCACATTATGCAATATATATTAGAAGAAAAATTAAGGCAGCTTGAAAGTCTCGTTTGCGAATTTTTTTCTCGTATTATCTTCTTTCAATCAGCATGTCGTATGTTCACATGTAGAGAACACAGTGTGCAGTAGTCCTGGGCCTTCGGATCTGTGGTTCGGGTCGGGTCGAGTTTTTCAGGTTTCGGATCTAGAGGAATTGGAACAATTTGGTTCTGGTGTGTAATTTGGTTCGGTTCGGGTCGGTTCCTTTCGGATTCGGGTCTGTTCTCGAATTTCAATAATAAACCGAAATGGAACCGAAATTTTTTTCGGGTCTGATCGGATTCGGATTAGAACCGAGAACCCGAAAAAAATGTACCTGAAATGTCACATATGAAGTGTAAAACAAAAAACTTTGTAGCTTACATTCGTAAACATCATAATTCAACTCCAAATGATAGTGTTTAAGCACAACAAAACCAATATTCAGAGTTTAGAACTTATGTAACTCTAACTCCAAAACAAGAGTAGAGTTAGACAACAAAATGTTTTGCAGCACATTTCCAAGTTCCAAAAAACATTTCCGAGGCAAGTAAGAAAGTCTAAATGAACACAAAGAACACAACCAAAAAGAAAACCAGACTCAGTGTCTCACTGTGTGCTCTCAGACTCTCAGCCTCTTCACTTCTTCTCTAAGTTGTCTAATGCTACGCCTACTCCTTGGTCTGCAAAAATCATTAGCATAAGAGATATTCAGAGTTAAAGATTTCTAGTATTCTGCAAAAATCCTAAGTATAAGAGATATCCAAAACCAATCACACGTTCTCAAATCTCATCAGTCAAGACTTGACAAACTTGGAAGCTCAAAACTGAGAAAACTATTACAAGATAGAAATAACTGGTGATAGTGTCATGTATACCTAATCGCAGATGAGGAATTCAGCCTTCAGTTACACAACCAAAGTCGAACTCTAACATAAATTTATGAAGCTAATGTTAAAACGTAAAACCAGAAGCACAAACAACTGTAAAAAACAAACTAGAAGCTAATGTTTACCACTCTGTAGTTTATCCTGCAATTCAATCTCAGCAAGCAATTGCTCTTTCGTAATAACAACTCCCTTCTCATTCAAGTGACTCTCAGTCTTCATCCATTGCTCAGTGCACATTAAAACTTCTATCATATAGTGTGTTAAACAACTTCTCGAAGGATTTAAGATTCGGTTACTTGTGCTGAAAGCGGACTCAGAAGCAACCAAAGTAATTTGCATTGCCAGAACGTCCTTTGCAATCTCAGATAAGACAGGATGCTTCTGACTGTTGAGACGCCACCAACCTAACACACCATATTCTACACCGGCCATTGCTGTCTTCGGATTCTTTGTTCTCTCCTTCAGATATAAGTCCAGCTCGTTACTTGCATCCTGAAATCTGATTTCACTTGCCATCTCTTTTTACAAGGAGTCTATTCTTTCATACCCGAGCTCTTCATCTAAGTCTAGATCGCCTGCAACCTGCTCTTCAGACTCTTGTGTAGATTGGTTCTGAGTCTGAGACGAATATGCTACAAACTGAGAAGATGTAGCATTCACAGGTGGGACCAGAGCAGTATTATACTCTTCAAATAACCTCTTCATAACCTCTATGACTGCATCATGAAGTCCCTTAGCTTCCATGCTGTCCTAACCGTAAAGCATATCAAATCACATATCCGCAAACTTCATTTTGTTCCTTGGATCCAAAATGCTAGCAATTATCAACAGCCTATTGATTTTCGTGGTTCCCTCCCAATACTTATCAAATTTATATCTCATAGCCGTGGCTTTTTACCTTCGTGATTCATCAGTATCAGTAGTCAGCTTAATGAGATTTCTTTCAATAGTTACAATCTCATTGTAACATTTGTAAGAATTGACAGAAGTAGAAGCTTAAACCACCAGAGTAGACTTGTAAAAAATGATGAGAAACCTCACTAACCTTGCCACGGACTCCCAATCATCTGGTGTAGGTGGCCCAATCCGTTTAGTCCCATCCACCTTTTCTTGAAAATGGTCAGTATACAACTTGTCATCTTCTGCCATTTTGATGAAAGTAGTCTTGAACTTAGAAGCTCTCAATAGCATCAGGTACGTTGAGTTCCATCTCGTCTTGCAGTCCAGACTTAAACTTCCTCTTGTCATATTCCGTGACTCAACTCTAGAATCAAACGCCTTCACTCTATTTATCGATGCTCTTACATAAGACACAGCATTCCGAATAGCAGTCACAGCCTTGTCCACTTCATACAAACCATCCTTCACAACTAGATTAATGATATGAGCAGAGCATCGGGGATGCATAAACTCTCCTCCTAAAACCAATTCACCTCCTGCCCAAGTGAATGCCTCCTTGAATCTGCTCAAAGCTGATGTATTAGCAGTGGCATTGTCCACCGTGATGGTGAACAATCTCTTTATATCCCACTCAGCCAAAACCTCCATCAGAACAGCAGATATAGTCTTCCCCTTATGGTGTGTGACATTCCTAAATCCAATAATTAGCTTCCTCAGCTTCCAAAACGCATCAATGTAGTGTGCAGTGATCACCATATAAGATGCAGTTGTCGTTGGAGCAACCCAGATGTCTGTTGTCAAGGATAGCCGTTGATTACTACCCTTTAGAATCATCATCATCGCAGCTTTTCTCTTGACAAACATTTCCACAATGTCACGAGTTGCTTGTCTTCTAGAATGTGGCTGCTGAAGGTTAAGCCTTGCGCAGAAATGTCTGAAAGCCAAACTCTCTATGAATGCTAGAGGCAATTCTCCCAAAACCAACATCTCGTTACAAACTTCATGGAAAACTGCTTCAGAAACTTTCGATAGCTTCAACTCCCCTTGCTCCCCTTCCTGATTTAAAGTATGCTGGCATTGAGAGTTGGTCTCATTCCATGTATTGAATGCCTTGCAACAGCCGAGATGTTTCTTCAAGCTCGTAGTCCCAGATGATGTTTTGCAGCACATTTCTTTGCCACAGTAATTGCAATTGCACTTATCCTCATCATATTCGGTTCTCGTGTAGTGTTTCCAGACTAACGACCTTGGGATTGTGTTTTTCTTCTTCTTCTTTGATGGAAGAGAGCTTCCTTCAGACGCATTTCCTTTCCGCTTTTTTCCAGTTGCAGGTGCAGGAGCAGGAGTCTCGAATTCATCTCCTCCATCTTCAGGTTCATAATCACTTGGGTGAGGAACCCATCTGCAATTACAATATCTAATTCTACTCAGTCAAATCAAACCGTAATATCCCCAAATGAAAACGAAAACAGAAAGATGATGATTGTCGATGTGATTGAGTTCTCGATGAACCGTACCTGTGATTGATTTCTTGATGAAGCTGTTTCTGGGATTTGCTTTGTAGGAGTCGAAGGTGGTGACCGGCGGCTGAGATATCGACCTAGGTCTTCCAGTGTTTTGTTTTTGCTATTTACATGAAAAAATTGAAGAAATGTCGAAAAGTGAGAGAGAGAAAGAAGCATTTTAGATAAAAACCGATCCAAAATTTGCAATAATTACATACTTATGTAATAACAATTAACAACAACAACATTATACACATAATTAATTTTCTAATCTTATATTAACCTATTAATTTCAGGTTTTCGGATACCCGAATGGGTCTCGGATCCAACCTAACGCGAATCAAGAACCGATTCAAATTAAATTGGAAACCATTCAGATTTAATGAAGGAACCGAAACCGAACCAAACCGTGTTTTTCGGGGTTGGGTCCGTTCGGGTCCTCTCAGGTCGGTTTTTAAGCCCAGGACTAGTGTGCAGTGTTAAGTGAAGAAAACTTACTAAAATAACTAAATTTTTGGCTGAACGCAGACTATAATTTGAGTTATTTCGGTAGTGAGAGACCTGGAAAAACAAAGACATGAATCACAAAGTTTTGTTGGTGGTTGGTACTAGATAGGGTACAAAAAACATGGATACACAATAAAAAACAACCGAGAATATTTCATCTCAAATATGGAGAAAAAATATGCAGATTTTTCCAAAAATGCTAATATCCCTCGATATGGATTGTGTATGATTTCTTCTAAGACTCGAACAGAAACCGGGGGAAGATATATAGTACAAAGACGATAAATTTGAAAAATTTGCATCCCAAAATTTCTCCTTCCACCCATTGAATCAATCAAATATCATTAAAAATAAGATCCTATGAAAATATATTTGTTGTTATCGTATTTGAGATCATCACATGTTTCCTTTAAGCTTGAACCAAGCTCGTTTTTCCATTTGCAAACAATCTTAATCAAGTACAAATTTGCTCACTTACTAGAGTGTCATAGACAATTATTAGCACCCTAAAATTCTGTGTATTTGTATATCACTTTCTTGCTAAAAGTAGTATAGATTAGTGTTGATCAAAATAAAAAGGATTTGCCGTTCATCGTTTATTAAAGGTAAATAACTATTGATTAGATAGTATAGAGTGTAGAGTGTAGACTGTGTAGTTACCAAAAAACAAAAAACAAAAACAAAAAAACAAAAAAAAATAGGACAATAAAGTACGGGACAAAAGAGATACAAACTCTGCTCAAAAGTAAAACATTCTCGAGACTAAATGGCACAAAATCGAAGAGTGAGACCCTTCAAATGCATATAAGCTCAGATAGGTTCTGCACTCACTGACCAACACAAGTTCCATAAAACTTTGGTTTGTCGATCATCTCTCACAATTACAATGATCCGTTACAGAATCAAACAAAAGAGTTTACCAGAGACTTAATACGTGACGTTATTGGGCAGGTTTCTGATGACGTTGCTCTTCATTCCAAGCTTAACACGCATTTTCGCTCCTCTTTTGTTCATCTCTCTCATCACCTTCATCCTCACTATGTCCTCCTTCGAGTGCACTGTTGCTAGACCCATGCTCTTGTACCTGTGAATAAGTTCCATTGAAGTCAGATTCTGCAAATCCTGATTCTAAAGACAGAGAGGTCAAAGATAAACCTCGAGGTTAATGAGTTGACAATGTGCTTCTGAGAAGATGGAGGTGGCTTCTGTTTGTAGTAGCGCATGAATTCTCGAGACCCGAGAGTCCTAGACGTCACTTTGTCATCGGTTCTTTTGGTGATCACAAGCTCAGACCCACCAAAAAGCTCCACGGTGTTAGCTGATTCTCCGGATACAACCATCTGATTTTCGCCTTCGTTGACATAGCTGTACAAACACACACATTCAAAGGAAACATTAGTTCAAGCAAAAAAGAAAACGCAAGACTTGGTAAATAAGATACCAAACAATGGTGACCTGCTGGTGTAATCATAGAACTCTTCAAGTTCTGCATCTTCTTCATCGCCACCATCACCATAATGCACTTTGCAATGTCCCTTAGCTTCCATATGCTTCCGCACAGCTTCCAAACTACTAAATGGATGGCACAATTCATTGCAGTACAAACATATGAAGTCCCTCTTCACCTATAACCACCACCATGTAAGCAGCTAAGAAAAACATCCAAGACCGTGAAAACAACGAGGACTAAAGTGACGACACAAAATTACAGACCTTTAGACCAACGTAGGTTAGAAACCCTTTTGGATCCTTTAGGTATTCGATATCGGGAATGAAGAATCCATGGTACTTATGCATATGAACCATGCACTTCTCAATCGTCTTATGCTTTTTATCACACATCAAACAGCAAGCCGGATCCAATTCAAACTCGATATCATCCTCATCCATATCATCACCAGAACCAGACTCGTCTGCATCCATATCTTCACCGTCCAAATCCTCGTCAGAACCAACCTCAACCCATTCATCTTCACTCTCTTCACTCTCTTCCTCAATCGAACCTTTTAGTTGAGAAGGGTCGTTTTTCTCAACACGGCGAGGAGGAAGCTGCTTGATGATCGCTTTATCCTCGTCTCCGTTGCTCGTCCCTTGCGAAGAAGCTTTCAAAACGTGACTCTTCGACTTGAGATGCTGCTCATGAGCCTTGGAGCTCCTGTAACCTTTACCACAGATTCCACAACTATAAAGCAATGGTGCTTCGTTAGATTTGACCTTCTCCTGAGCAATCGCAGCTTGTCTAGCTTCGAAAAGTGCTTCCGTAACTCCAGGAACACCAGCAATCTTAACATTTACAACATAAAACCAAACCGATTCATCATAATCACAGGAACAGAAACGTAATAGCAACTGAAGAACAAAATCAAATGAACAAACAAACGAAAGCTCTTTCTTCTTCGTTCCTTCTCAATAAATTACAGAAAGCTTGCCATCACAATCAGGAATCATATCAACCCTAACGAATCTACGACTCGGAAGGAAACAGGAGTTTCCCGAGAAAACAAACAAATCCAATCTTAGGGAAAAATCAAAGAAAATCAACCAAAATCAGCAGAGAATAATTTACTCACCTTGCGTTTGAGATTGTAACGGTGCCATTCGGACTTGTAATGGAGTTTCTGCTCAGCGTCGTCTTCGAACTCCTTGTTACACGAATTACAAGCTAAGCCTGACATCTCTCTCTATCTCGATCGATTGAAAATGAAGAAGAAGAAGGAAAGAAAAAGTGTTTAGAGGTTAGGGATGAGCTATTTATATACTTGCGGCGATGGCTCGGAGGTCGGTTGAGGGAAGAAGGTTAAAAGCAAAATTTGTTAACGACGATTATTCCCCAAAAGTCACAAAAAAAAAAAGTCGGTTTTTTTGCGTAAGCAGGTGACTTATTATGGGTCGGATTAAGCCGTTTGGATTTAATTTTGGCCCAAACAAAAGTTGAATCGTTTCATTTTTTTTTTTTAACAGCTATTTTATTATTTTATAAAGTATATGGGAAATACAAATAGTTCTGTAACCAAACTGCAGGAATATAATAACAACAACTAGATTCTAAGAGATGAAAGCTTCGCTTTGCCAAAACATCAGCTGCAGAATTCCTTTCTCGATTGGTATGACTAAGAGAACACTCTAATAATTTTCCCATCCAATAGCGAATATCCGTAAGCAAATTGCCTATTTCAACATGGTTTCTTTGTTGATTAATCAAGTTGACCAACTGCAGATTGTCACTTTCAAACCACACATATCTCCAACCTTTTATCCAAACTATTTGAAGCGCATATAAAAAGCTCATAGCTTCTGCTTGCAATGGAGAAAACGCAGTTGAACCTTTAGAAGCTCCAGAGCAAATATGTTTCCCACTATGGTCTCGAACTATCCACCCTAAACCTGTAGTATCAGAATTTGCTTTCCAACTACTATCAAAGTTGCACTTTAACCAATTATTTGGTGGTGGCTCCCAATAACTTGAACGGTCCAAAACTCTGTCACTCTCAAAGAAGGTAATTTTTGATTGTTCTTCAGACATAATATCTATCCACTCTTGTACTGCATCTATAGCTCTTACGCCATCGTCATTTGGGTGAGTATTACGTGATCTAAACAAGAACTCATTCCTTGACTTCCAAATGATCCAGCAAGTCCAAAATGGTAACAGCTTAGATTCCTCCGAACCTGCTCCATTACGGTATATTCTAAATAATGTGTGGATATTAGCTTCTAAACCTGCAACATTTGAATCAAAATGTAATATTCCGGCACATCTCCATATAGCTTTAGCGTGGAGACACTCAAAGATCACGTGGTTTATAGTCTCATCATGTTGACAACAACGTTGACATAATGAACTCATATTGATCTGTCTGCTCCGAAGTCTGTCTGCTGTAGATAATGCACCTGTGAGAACCCTCCATAAGAAATGCTTAATCTTTGGAAGAATATTTAGTTTCCAAATCTCATTTTTGAGTTCTAAATCACCTGCTGGTGGAATAATATCCTCATTCTCAATCCCAATATGCGTTGCTACCCAATAACCTGATTTGACAGTATATGTTGAGTCTTCTGTGTATGCCCAAACTAAACGATCCTCAGTTTCATAAGTAGAAAGGATGATAGTTTTGGCTAGAGCTGCATCTTCTGGGACCAAAAATTGATCGAGTTTTTCATGATTCCATACCATGTTACCCTCTGTCCATAATTCTCTTACAGTGAGCATAGAGGCATTATTATTACTTCTGGCTAACCTTAGCGGCTTCGAAGGTAACCAGTAATCGGAAAAGACCTTTGTATTATGACCATCTCCTAGTTGAACCTTTAATCCTTTTGCTAGCAGTTCCTTCCCTGCTTGAATCGATCTCCAACCGTACGAAGATTGTCCTCCACAAGACGACTGTAAAAATGTCGACTTATTGTGATAACGACCTTTGTACAATCTGGCCAACAAAGATGATTGATTTTGAAATAGACGCCAAGCATGCTTTGCTAATAGAGCCTCATTGAATCGCTGTAAATCTCTGAATCCCATGCCTCCTTCTTTCTTTGGTAAAGATAATCTCTTCCATGATATCCAAGAGATTTTCCTTTTACCCTCATCTGAGCCCCACCAAAACTCTGACAGTGCACTATTTATATCATCGCAAAGAGTTTTTGGTAGAAGAAAACAGTTCATAGGATAAATTGGTTTTGCCAACAAAACCGATTTTATCAAAACTTCTTTGCCTGCTGGTGAAAGAAATTGATTATACCAGCCTCCTAATGTATCTCGTATCCTCTTTACCACAAAATCGAAAGCTTCAACTTTACTTCTTCCTAGTTGTTCAGGCAGACCTAAGTATTTACCTTCGCCGCCCATATGCTCAATTCCCAAAATATCTCTCATGATCATCCTTTGATCTTCTTCCACTCTCGCGCCAAAGATGATGGAGGATTTATTGTAATTAACTTTCTGGCCAGAAATGACTTCATAATCATTGATAATACGAGCCAACTCTTCACAGTTTGCATAATCTGCTCGACAAAAAAATAGAGAGTCATCAGCAAAAAGGAGATGTGTGATTGTCGGGCAATGTCTAGCAAGTTTCATGCCCTGAAGATCTTGTTTTTCTCAGCTCGAGCAATCATCTGACTAAGTACCTCCGCACATATTAAGAATAAATATGGAGACAGCGAACACCCTTGTCGAATTCCTCTGCTTGGAGTAATGTGTCCATAGGAAGCTCCATTAATTAATACAGAATACGAGACTGAACAAACACAAGTCATCACCCACTTAATCCATTTGTTGTCGAAGCCCATCTGATGCATTGCTCGTTCCAAAAAACACCATTCCACTCGGTCCGTTTTAATAACCATATAGTTCTCTGAACAATCCTTTTTGGCATTGAGTGCATGAACAAGTTCATGAGCAATGAGGATGTTGTCATTAATATTTCTTCCAGGAACAAAAGCAGATTGAGCTTCTGAAATAATCGAACCAAGACAATTCTTGAGCCGCATAACTAAGACTTTAGAAATGATTTTATAACTGACTGAGCACAAGCTGATAGGCCGAAAGTTGAATCGTTTCATTATCCAGGCCTGTTTCTTGTTTATATCCTTAATATATTTATTTATGGGATAATTGGCAAAATACACTAATTAAGTATGTGAATTAGTAAAATACACTGTTTTAATTTATTTATTTTCCAAAATAAACTTTTGATATATGTTAAAAGAACTTTTGACCAAAATTTAATTAGGAATAACATAACCTATTAAATGAAAATAAAATTTTGAAATAATTAATATTATGATTAATTTTTTATTTGAGATAAAGATATCTTATTACTTGATATTATTAAATGTCTAATTGGATAAAATTTTACAAATTTTTTAACTTTATCTCGACACAAAAAAAAAATTATTGTGTTATATAAACAAACATGTTACTTTTAGCTTTTCTGAGAAAAAAAAAAAACAGAGAAGGGAGCAGAAAAGAACAACACAGCAACGGTCCGTCGATTTGTGATCCTCTCTTATATATTCACTTTCGTCGTTGACTTAAGGTCCTCTCTTATATATTCACTTTGCTCGTTGATTTTTTTATGAGATTTATGATTCATCAATGGCTATTTTGAAAAAAACAGAGAACATCAACACATCAACGGTACATCGATTTGAGGTCTTCTGCTATATATTCATTTTGGTCATTGACTTGAGGTCCTCTATTATATATTTACCTTGCTCGTTGATTATTTTATTAGATTTATGATTCATCAACAATTCATATACTCTATTTTCTTACAATGGATGATTTGTTTATTGAAAGTTACCACATATTATATTTTTCTTTTCTTTCATATGTTCTGTTAGAGATGGAATACAAGTTTCGGAAAGAAATTGATGGAAAAAAAAAGACAGAATCAGAGCAATGAAGAAAAGTGTTATCGCATGCGTGGAAATTTTATCAAAAGACTATTTTCAAGCGTGTATGACAGAATTTGAAGAAAGTTTGAACAATGGCTTTGTGAAGCTTAGTTCAGAGCTTTTGGATGTGGAAAGCTAAGCTAAAAAGACTTGATGAAAACTTGAAGACTTTACAAAAATCGAGCACAGTGAAAAAAAGTTTAAAAACAGCAAGGAAGGTAAACAATTTTTTAGCTTGATGATTTTGTATTTTGCAATTTGTTTTATGTATCGTAGATAATTTCTATCAATTTGTTTTTTTTTTCAGGTAACAAAAACAGATTTGAAAGCCTCTTTCGATACATTGCACTGTACAGATATAGGCTCATCAATCAAAATCGTGAGGATTAGCCTCTTAATATTGTGGATGTATATAGGGGGTTGAGCATAGCTACTTTCTGGAGTACCCAATACCTCTTCCCGAGCATTTTCTCTAGCTTTCCATATCTTCCAATATCTTGAATCAAGACCATATCGTCGTTTTATAGTTGTAGAGATCTGCCCTGGTTTCATATTTATACCAGCATTTCCAAAAGTTTCCAAAACAAGTTTACTTATTACTTTCGATGGAGCTTTTGGTCCACCAAACTCTTATAGAAAGATATGTATGCTTGTCGATGTACTTTGTTACCCTAAAATACTCACATGATGGATTAGTCTTTGTAGCTCAAACCATCCAGTTGCAGCTAGTCTCAACACACTTGACAACTAACAATTTAGTGTCTGACTTCTTAACACTGATTCTGAATTTTCTTTCAATCGAAAGCATCCATATACTCCAAGGCAACTCTGCCTTATTCTTGAACCATTGGTCCTTTTTAATGACCTTTCCATCATGGAAATTCAAAGCTTCTACTTCTGCCTCATCATTAGTGGTGTTTTTGCGGGCCTGAAGCCTGCGGGCTTATACGGGCTCTTCATTAAGTTTTAAGCCCGTAACCCGTTTACTTATATGAAATCATAAAAGGGTAGATCCATTTACGTCCATTTATTATATGGGCTTACCCGCGAAATAAAAAGGTACCCGTTTATTTTTATTTTTTTTCAATTGAAGAAACGACACCGTTTTATTTTTTATCTTCATCTCTCCCGACTCCGACTTCCGCCCGAGATTCGCCGCCGTTCCACGACATAGTTTCGTGAACCAGCAACATAAATCATCGAAGCTGTTTCTCGCAGATCCATTTGGGTTTCTTCCTGATGATGATGAGTCTGAGAAGAGGAGGAGAGATGTTTTGATTGATTCTAAATTTTTGGGAACTAAAATTGGAAATGTTTTGGTCAGCTTGTGGAGAAAGATGCGGAAGCAGCGATAGAGTTGTTTTGGAAAGCGATTGAATTTTTAAAAATGCATGGTTGAATTGTCTTCGAGTTCCTAAAACATTTGAGAAACAAATGCATCATCTTTTTTGCCAAACACATGTTTCGTTGTTAGAAGTTGAATTGGAACGAGTTCATCAAACTTTGATCTGCTTGCGGTGAGTTTTTCATATTCTTCTTTTTCTCTCTAAATGTTGTAGTTAAATGGGATCTAAATGTTGTAGTTGTCGCCGAGATTTGTCATCAAGGGCACAAATGGAATTTTGTCATCAAGGGCACAAGGACATTTGGAGAGAAAAGGAGAGGAAAGGAGAGTGTAGAAAGTAGTATTACAAAACCAAATTGTCCCACATCGACTAAAGAGTGTAAAGTGAAGTTCAAGCTGTTCTATAAATATTACTACACTTCAGTGCCCATCAGTTGCTATTTAAATAATTTTTAATTGTTGACTAAGGTGGCACTAGTCCAGATTTTTTAAGAAAAAGGCATTTCATTCATTGTTTGATTTTTTCTTCCGATTACAGTGTAACCGGGCGGTACTAGTCAAGATTTTTTAAGAAAAAGGCACGGTTTTCTGATTTTGTCTTCCGATTACAGAGAATGGATTTAGAGTCTCTCCATACCATAGCACTTCTTGATGCTCAAAATGATTACATGAATGATTACATGGATATGAATGAAGAAGATGCTATAAACATGGAAGATGCTATGAATGAGGGAGAAACAGAAACGCAAGAACCAGACCATAGTGATACTCAAGCAACCCAGGCAACTCAAGCGGCTCCAGCAACTCAACCAACTCGCACTCGACGTAAGTGACGCTTAACTTCATCTGTTTGGAAAGATTTTACATCAGTTGGGGTTGAAAGTGATGGCAAAGAAAGAGGTCAGTGTAATCATTGTGGGGCAAAACTAGTGATAAATACTAGAACACATGGAATAACCCACTTGCTTCGACACTTAGAAACATGTTCAAAGGTGCCAAAAAAGATAGATAGGCCAGCATATGATCATAAGAGGAGATGACTAGTGAAATCATAATCTACCATGATTTGCCATTTCGATATGCTGAGTATGAGAAGGTTAGAGCTAGAAATCTATATCTTAATCCTGATTGTAAGCCTATTTGTAGATAGACTGCTGCAGCTGATGTCTAGAGGAGATTTCTGGTTGAAAAAGAAAAGTTGAAAGTGGTATTAGCAAATCATAATGGGCGGGTTTGTTTTACCTCAGACTTGTGGTTATCTCATACAACTATGATGGGGTATATTTGCTTAACAGTTTCTTTCATTGATGATAGCTGGAGATTACATTGTAAGATTTTAGCCTTCTGTTATCTGAAGTGTCCACACACTGGTGAAGGGATTGCTAGTCAGATTTTTGATTGTTTGAAAGAATGGGGATTAGAGAAAAAAGTCTTTTCAATCACTCTGGATAATGCAACCAACCAGACTAGTATGCAGCGAATTCTTAAAGGGAGGCTTCAAATGACGAGTGGTAGTGGTTTGTTGTGTGAGGGAAAGTATCTGCATGTTAGGTGTTGTGCTCATATATTGAACCTGATTGTGAAAGAAAGCTTAGAGCTGGCAAAAGATCTTCTACATGATATTAGAGAGAGTGTCAGATATGTCAAATCATCTCAACAGAGAATAGAGTCTTTTGCAAGCTGTGTAGAGCGAGAGAATATCAAAGGTGGAGCTGGCTTATCACTTGATATTCAGACTAGATGGAATTCAACTTATGAGATGCTTGTCAGAGCGTTGAAGTTCAGAAAAGAATTTGAAAGTTTGGCATCTTTTGACACACATTATACGTCATTGCCTGCAGAGGAAGACTGGAACCGTGGGGAAAAGATATGTGACCTGCTAAAGCCGTTCAGCATCATTACTACATATATTTCAGGCTATAAGTATCCTACTTCAAATGTATACTTCACACAAGTATGGAGGATACAAATGTTGTAAAAGAAGTATGCTCTATGTGATGATTTTGGAATAAGAGAAATGGTTCAGAGCATGCAAGTGAAATTTGATAAGTACTGGAAAGATTACAGTATCATTTTGGCTATGGGAGCTGTTTTAGATCCTAGGATGAAAGTGCAGGTGCTTGAAAAAGCTTATGAATCTGTAGATCCCTTCACATCTCATTCAAAAATTCAAGAGCTTAAGGATAGTTTGAAAGCTTTATACAAAGAGTATCAGACTAGAGCAAGTTCTTTGGGTGTTTCAGCTACACAAACCCCACATGAGATAGTCACTGAATCTCCACTTGAATATGACTTTGATAATGTAAGTAACTTACTCTTCTCTTTTAGCTTTGATTGATTACTTTACTTTAGCAAATTATAAGATAGAATAGTTTATAATTGAGTGCATGATCATATAGGATCTCTATGAGTTAGAAAGAAGTATTGAAGCTGGTGTTGGCAACACAAAAACACATTTGGATATCTATTTGGATGAGTCGAGGCTAGCGCGAAGTTCTTTTCCAGATTTGGATATTTTGAGCTATTGGAAAGAAAATGAACATCGACTTAGTGGTTTAGCTGCAATGGCACGTGATATTCTCACTATTCCAATTACCACGGTAGCTTCAGAGTCAGTATTTAGTATTGGAGCTTGGGTTTTGACACCATACAGAAATCGCTTACTTCCCAAGAACGTGCAAGCTTTACTCTGCACTCGCAATTGGTTACGCGGTTATGCAGATTATGATGGTAAAACTTTAAGATTTGCAAAAACAGTTTTATAGTTATTGATTTTATTAACTTATTAATATTTTTAATTACAGGTATCATAGAGGATACTGATGAAGCAGAAAGTAGCTCCGCAGTTGAAGGATCAAGAGCAGAAGATTCAAGCATGCCATGAAAACAAAGGTATCTTTAAAAAAATTTATGTTTGTGAAAGTTGTTTATAAAGTCTCTTTTTTTTTAAGTTAAATGTTATTTATATTTTTTTTTTTTTGCAGAGGATGAAGAAAAAGATCAAGTTTAAATCAAAGATAATATTTACAAATATTTATTTTATAATTTTGTGTTTGTTTGAACAAAACGTTGATGTTATATTTTTGAATTGGATTTTGTTATTAGTTACTTATTTACTTATGAAATGTTGGATTTTGTTTATGATATATGTTTTTTCATTTCAGAAAGTTTTATTTTCTTTAAGATATTATGTTTTCTAAAAATATATAAAAAAAAACATAATATGTATTTTAAATTTATAATAACATACATAATATAACAAAAATTCAAATGTAATTTAAATAATTAGATTAAAAAAAAGATAAACGGGCTTAAAAGGGTTATTTAAGCCCGGCGGGCTTCTAAATAAATGGGCTAAAAAATTACAAACATAAACGGGTTTTATTTAAGCGGGCTTTAATAGGGCAGGCTTTATACTGGCAGGGTTTAAACTGGCCTGGGTAGCCCGTAAAAACACCACTACTCATCATTACTATTCTGCCTATCAATATTCTCATATGAATTTTTAGTCATATTTGTGATGCCTTTTTTATAAACCACAGATAATTCATGAGAACAGAAGTCTTCATTTTGGTATTTTGGATTAACATTCTTTTTAACTGAGATGCAAAGACGAACATGCATCGATCTGCACATTTTGAATAAAGTCTTTAGTTGCCTTTCATTAGTTACAAAGATAGGTCGGGTATCCTTGGGCATGTCTCTCATCATTATCTCAGGTAAGGCATAGCTAAGTTCTACATCATCAACCAACTTATCAAATCCAAAATCTTCGTGTACCATCTAAACCATATCAGCAAACTTCAAACCATCCCTAATGGTGAATAATTTACCTTTTTGTAGTATTCATGATGAATCTCCATGATTCCTTTTTCACTTGCCATTCACCCAAAACTCCAGTTTTATGCAATATTTTCCTTCATAAAAAAAACAAAACACAGAACCATTTTGAGAATAAAAAGAAGAAAATCATAACACCACAATAATACCAATTGAGAACGAAACAATTTTTTTTACCAATTAGAGGCAAGAATGAGTGATATTGATGGTGTTATTAGGAGATCTAACAATATTTGGAGCAGGTGCAAGTGACAAGACGATGTAAGCCACTAGTCCACACTCTCCTCCAGGCAATGTTTGATCTCGTTTTGGAGAATCCCGACGTCTCGACCTAAACTCGGAAATGTTGTTAGAGAAATTCAGATAGAAATAATTCTTTGCTAGATTTTACCCTGTGCATCCGCACGGGAATTTGTTTTAATCAAAATTTGTAATTTAATTTATGTTTTTTATATAAATATATTTTTTAATAAGTGATATAAAAAAAAATTTGTGTTTAGATATAATTTGTTTTTATTTTTAGTATTATTATGACCACCATGATCATAAAAACATAATTTTAATCCGGTTATTGTAATAATTAAAAAGTGATTATTATTATAAAAATATATTTCTAACTCGCTCATTTTATTAATCCAAAAAAGACATGATTATGAAACCATAATTCTAACCCGCCCGTTTATATTACTTTATAATATAAATATTTACTAATTTTGAAATAATTTTTTCCTAATATCTTGCATGCTTTGATAACCTAACCCGATCATAATTATAAAAAAACTTAATTTGTCCCATCAAATTAATATATAATATTAATATTTATCTATTTTCAATATGTGAAATTTTAATCTGATAGAATATGATTAAAAAAATAAAAGAAGATATTTGTTAATCATATGTGTTATTCTAAAAATTTTATTTAAATTTCAAATGTTAATTAAATCTAATATATATTTAAGGAAGTCTATTTAAATTAATATTTATAGACTATAAATATAACCTATATTTAAGAAAAAATTTAGTTATCTAAATTAATATCTAATTTTCAGAATTAAATTTATATATATATAAAAAAAAATTTTAAAAAAAACTTTGGGAGTGTTTGGAAACAAACACTAAAAATGCTTATATTTTAACATAATAGATTATTTTTATTTATATTTTTGATCAAACTTATCCATATACAATTTCAGCCTAGTACATTTCGGCCCAAAAAGGCTAGAGTCTGCGAAACAATTTGCAGCTCTTGGAATAGATTTGAACTGAATTGAATCAAAAGCAATAATTTTTTATTAAAATATTATTTTTGTAATTAGAATAAAATAAAATAAAATAAAAGCTAATTAGATTATTTGTGCAGAAAATGTAAATATATATATGTATTACTATTTAAATATTAAATTATAAATTATGGGTAATTTTGTTATTTTACTTATCAATAAGTGTAGATTTCAAAAAAAAAACTTAAAATTAGTATATTTTTCAAATTATAAACTCATGACAAAGTATTTTCTCAAATTTTCTCTTTATATTTTTGTAACATAAAATCTTTATTTTTGACATCAAGATTTTGTTAGATATTAATTATTATATATACATTATTATTCTTTAACAAACTTTAATTGAAGGATTTTACCATCACAAATTGAACCGAGGGATTTAAAAATGAATTCGTTGATACTGTATTTAAGGAGTTTTTTTATAGAAAGAAAAACTATATATATATATATATATACTATATGTAAGATGTAGAATTAACCCAGAGTACATAAGATTCGAGATCCCACTCAAACGCACAAAGGAATAATACAATATGATCCATAAAAAGTTCAAAATATACAGTATATGTTTTGACATATTCGAAAATGTTATCTAGAAGAGAGTTATATGGATTCTCTGCTAAACAGGATGTGAAGCATCATACCAGACGTAAAAACTTTTCAAAATCTTTCTTTGCTAAAAAGTTTGTATTCATCAATCACGGCAAAGCTTAAATTAATTCTTGCAAACACTAGATAAATAGATAAGAAAGACCATACAAAATTTTGACTGTTATTTTTCAAAATCTTCCTAATTACAGCTTCTTAAAAATTCTTCTTCCAAATATTTAACAGATGATAAGCTCTTCGAAAACATTGGACTATATAGTTTAAAATAGAACTAGAAATTAAACTGCACATTGTGCAGGGTAATGTTGTTTAAATTGTCTTTAAATTTAATTTTAATTTTTGGTTAAATTAAAATTGGTTGCACAATTCCGTTAACAAAAAATATAAAGAAATAAAATTGGTGGCAATTAAATAACAATACATATATAAATATCACACAATCGATATTTAAATAAAATATTTTTTTGGCCAACCCGTAAATTTTGAAAACATAGTTTAGTTTTTTTTTATAAAAATAATTGAACTAATTTTCAAAATTGATACTAACTAATTATGAAAATACAGATAAAAAATATTGCAAAAAATTAAATAGATTTTTTTATATATATAGATTAATTATTATTTTAAATAATAGAATATGTTTTAATAAGTAAAGAAATATTTCATTAAGCTTTTTATATTTGTAAAGTTTATTTATATAATATTTTCTAAGTTAAGGTTTATTTATATAATATTTTATAAATAAATGATTAATTATGTAAAATATTTTGTAATATCTTACAAAGAAAAGTTCATTTATATAAATATCTACTCAAATAATAATATAGAGATATATACAATTAGGACCAATGCAAATGGTAATGTAACACAAACATGAAGTCTGCTTTGTTTCTCAGTCCAGACAAATTAAAGACCCATAAAATCTGAAAGTTCTTAATTATCCAAAAAACTTCTTAATAAAACTAGAAAGAGACTTAAACACTGAACTCCAAAACAAGAGATATTTGATATAACTACATGGCATTGCAATGCATTGCCACGATCCACGAGCATCCATTGCCTTTTTTCGCTCACATGGCAAAGAAAAGTTCGATCTTCCTTTATCCTCGTGAATTTATTTTCCAGTTGAACCCATATTTCCTCACATCATCATTTAATTCATATCCTGATGGGACCAAAAAAAGTTAGTACAAAATTATAAAGTAAATTACATGAACAGACGTAAGTCAAAAATCATCAAAATCGATTATGAGATAAGATAACAACTACAAATATACTCATCAACCAACAAAAGTTTTAGCTTATGTCCATACGTGTATGATAATGTACGTATCTATATTAATATCCTGTCAAGTTATTTTATTACTCAACTAACAAACACCATCTTTTATAATTATTGTTTCTTTTATTGTGTATCTCCAACAAAAATTGAAGAATTTAAAGAAATTTTTTGCATGAGTGGGTGAGAGAGACGATTCTCATGCAAAATGCATAAGCAGAAACTCATTAAAGAAGAGAAAAAATAAAGTTGCTTCTTTCACAAGTTTCTCCTTTGGGTGTTCATCTTTGTCCCACAACTTCTCAGATTATTGTTACAGGCCACTACTTTTCTACCATAATTTTTTTCGTAAATGTTATCATTACTTATATATAAAAAAATACACATTAGGAATACAATTAAACTGTCCTGCCCTTTGTTTTCTCTCAATAGTTTACTTATTTTCTCTCAATATAAATAATTAAATAGATTCTTTTAAACATTTCCGCATTAACCATTATGATATTCCGTAAATAACAATTTATAGAAAGATAACTAAGAGGGAAATTACAGCAACAAATAACACTTTTTGGTGCCAAATTAAATACATGATGAAGAAAATAAAATAACTATTGTAGCTGCCAAAAGCAAAAACTATGCCATACGAAAAAAAAGAAAAAAAATACCACGTAAAATAATAGAAAGGGAAAAAGAAGTGAACTCGTGAACTGATACATTTACCAAAAACGCACACACGAACAAGCCTCCCTCATATAAGCCTAATTCCACACTTCACATTTTCCGATTTTCGTTAGGTCTTTGAAGTTTTAATTCCAAATCCAAATCGCCGGATTTATCTTCATAAAGATTATATATAGTTAAATACCTCTGATTGCT